TGTGCAACTGCGAAGGCAAGGGCTATGGTGGCCACGAATGCCAGAGGACGTGGCGGAGGCGGTGATGAGGTGCGAGACGTGCTCCAAATTTGGACCCGCTCAGCGAGCAGCGCAGCACGCGCCCATCACACACTTCCAGCCATTCGATCTGATCGCAATGGATTTCATGGAACTCCCGAGCACAGAGACCAGTGCAGGGTATGTGCTTGTAGCGGTGGACTATTTCTCGCGCTTCATCTGGGTCTGGGTAGCACGTCACGCGGATGCAATCCGTGTAGTGGCGGGACTGCAGGACCTAGCGACGAAGTGGAGGCGTCCACGCCGAGTCATCACTGACAACGGCAGCCACTTTAAAAACAAGCTGGTCCGAGATGCGTGCGATCAGCTGGGGGTGGTGTCAACTCACACACCCGAATATGCTCCGTGGGTCAATGGGCTTGTAGAGCGCCAGAACGGATTGCTTGTGACCCAGTTGAGGAAAGGCTGCATGGAAAAAGGTATCCCTACAACTCGCTGGACGGCTGTGTTAGCGGATGCAGTCAGAATCATCAACCAACGCCCCATATTAGCACTTGGATACTCACCATCGGAACTCATGTTTGGGGTGTGCCCGTCAGCCAACCATCTAGAACTGGAGGACATGACCACTCAGGCAGAAAGCCCAGAGGCGATCTCTCTGCCATTTGCGCTTCTGGAATCAATGCGAGACTCGGCCACCATGCGCCACTTGCAGACAAGATGGAGAAAGGCACCCAAAGGAGCGCCGTCGGTTGGGACAACATTTGTCAAGGGAGATTTGGTAATGGCTAGGAAGCCACCCCAAGCAAACAAACTCGCAACGACCTGGTCAGGCCTGTTCAGAATCTCATCGTGCCAGAGGACCGGGCGCACTGCAAAGCTTGAATCGTTACTGGGGGCGGCGGTTAGAGGCAGATTTCATTTCAACAGACTGAAGAGATTCCACCCTGCCAAACCTTGGGACAATACAATGGAAGGGTTCGAGAGCGCAGGAGAAGAGATGGTCAAGAATACGGCGAATCAAAGCAGAAGCCTGTTTGCCCTGACGCAGAACAGCAGCGAGAGAATCGAGACCGAAGAGGAAGAAGTATTCCGTGCAATTCAGAACCTTCTGGAGGAGAAGGCATGAAGAAGCAGAGGAACTGTCAGATCGGCGAGCACAATACAGAGAGAAAACTAAAGTTCTGTGTTTCAGCAACCAAAGAAGTCAGAATCCAGAGCAACTGAGGAAAAACCGCACGCATCAAGGTTGCAAGAGCAAGAAAATCAGTATTGCAGTGTTTCACATGTACGAGAGCCCAAATTTCTTAGCATGGTGGTTGTCGCGCACGCGCCCACATGCATAAATATGTACATCACACTTGTCCAAACCTGAAATGCTACCACCA